CCATTTTTAAAGGTAAAGGGACACTCTAGACACCCAGACCAATTCAGCTCATTGAAGTGGTCTGGGTGCAATGTCCCATGCCCCTTAACCCTACAGTGGTAATTATTGCAGTTTCTGAGAAACTGCAATAATTATCTCTCAGGGTTAACTCCACCTTGAGTGACTGTCTACCAGGTAGCCCCAAGAGGGACCTCCGGGTAGTTAGACAACTGTTGGTTGCCTAAATGATTCTGAACTTGCATAGCATGAGGATTTCCAGCATTACCGGAATCTCCCCAGGAAGGTATTGATTAATGCTGTCCTATGGGAAAATCCTAATGTGAGCACGGCCATTGTCGCACATGCATATTAAGCCTCCCCGCCAGCTGACTTTGACGGGGGTGGAGCCTGACCAAGCACCAAGGGACATTGGCGCTGGATTCAGGTAAGTGACTGAAGTGGTTTTATCCCTTTCAGCGACATGGTTGGGGGGCACTTTGGGAACCTATAATGCCAGGAAAACGTCTTTGTTTTCCTGGCACAATAGAATCCCTTTAAGCCAAAAATATGAAATAATTTGGAAAGCTTATTTAACAGTATTAATATCAAGGCCTAAATCAGTCCCAAGCCTAATTACATCAAGTTGTAGGCAGGGCCTGTGCAAGGCTTTTTGGGTACACAGGCAAAGATGCCTACCACCCACCCACTCACCAAAAATAGCATCTTCACCGGTGTGCCTCTTTACCCCCCTTTTGTGTTTCGTATTCCGTTTTTCTTCTTTTAAATATAGTCTCCTCCTTTACTGTGTTGATTCCCTTTATGTATTTAAATGTTTCTATCATATCCCCCTGTCTCGTCTTTCCTCCAAGCTATACAGGTTAAGATCCTTTAACCTTTCCTGGTAAGTTTTATCCTGCAATCCAACGACCAGGAAGTAACAGGACCTGTTATCTACTTGAAACGGGGTGTAACTAGGTTAATTTATAAAAGTGTCAATTTATATCGAAACAACAATTTTTTGCAAAATGGTAAATTTTTTTTTTTTTTTTAAAAGGGACACACATAAAGCATTTCAGCAACCTCCAGTGCTTTAGGGATCTGGAGTCTCCCTTTAAATAAAGGCATAAATTGCTAAACTATTACGGTCTCGGACAAACCATTCTCTCTGTTCCAACACGGAATTGTGTCCTGTTTTATTACAGCTCCAGAACAGCAAGTATAATAAATATAAGTGGATATTGTGTTCTTTCTAACTTCCATCTCATCCAGTGAGTCATGTACCGACGAGCTTTCCTGAATCTACGTAGGTCACATTCTGGGTGAGCTTTCATCTAGATAAATGATTGCAATACATAAGCAGCTGGGAGACAACACTTTCCTGTAGATTTCCTTTAGGGGAAAAAAAAAAAAAAAAGAGTAACTTGTAATGTGTTAACTCTTCCATTACGAAGCCCTGGAAGGAATTACTAAGGTAGAAGACCTGTCATGTTACGCATCTCTTTCAGAGTATCAGCACAAAAGGCAACGTGATCCTCTTTTCTTAGCATAAGTGACGTCTGATAAATATAGAACAGAGAAACAATGTACGCATGCTTTCTTTGTGCCTGGTTTACTTAGCTGAGCTTACCTGTCTACCGAGGGATGTATTTAGTTTCCGTGATATACAGGCGCTGGATGGGGGAGGCGGCTTGTTTAAAGAATGTTCCATCAATTCTTAAAATAGAATTGGAATTCCTTCACCGTGGGTCGTATATTGAAGGACACATGAAAAGGTGTTAATGTGGCAGAGGTATAAATGAATAAAATAAGCAGCGAGAAGGTTAGCTTTAGAACAGAGCTGATTTGGGAAAAAAAAAAAAAGTAAAAAAAAAATTAGATTACTAGCGGTTTTAGAAAAGCAAATCCCAGTAAACCCCTTTATCTTTCTCTGTGCTCCAGAATTCTTTTCCAGCCGAGACAATACGATTTTTCTGCCAAGGATACATGCTAAAACTCTGCATATTCCTCAGAAGGATAATTTTTTCTTCAAGTTGTAGATTAAAGGTTGCTTCATTCTACCAACCTGGGACCAAATGGAGATATACATGCAACATAATAATGTAGGGAACAGGTAAACCATAATAAAACTAAATTTAATTTTTTTTTTACTATTCTAGCAACCTACTTTTTCCCGTACATTAAATACCCCACCCCCTTTACAATGTAAGCTCGTATGCTCCTGTGCTTCCGAGCTCGTCTTATTGCAATACGTATCTGTTAGTCCACCTGTTGTACAGCGCTACAGAATTTGTTGGTGCTTTAGAAATAACAAATAATTAAAAAAAAAAAAAAATGAAGAAAATAAAAGACAATAATAAAGGTAAGAGCAACCCAGGGAATCCACTGAAATAACTGATAAATTTACATTTTAAGGCAAAGCCAACAAATGGCAACAGTGAGTACACAGTATGTGCCAGTAGTTACACCTGGCAGCCTTCTTTGTTCATTTAATTGTTGCCATCATAAAAGTTTTTGTTTTTTTTTTATATATAAAGTCCAGTGATACATTATAAGCCACAATGCATCTTCTAACTTGTAATGACAGCAGTGATACATACCATTACTCCATATGAGGAAGCTCCTTAACTGGGAGTAAACTGTACTCCCCACCTAGGAAACACACAAGGCTACAATTAGAGTTCACGTGTACCCATGAGTTAAACGGCAGGAAATACCAGGTGAGTATCCAATTATAGCAGCCTTTCATTAGCTGTGCAATAGACGCTTCTCCTAAAGGTGGCCAGACTAAGCAATTCAATGTGTATAGCTATAATTTAATAGAATATATAATTTATTTTTTTTCATAAATATTTAAAGATAGATTACATTACGGTTAAGAGATTAGAATTGGGCACACACCACACAATGTTAGGGGCAGGAGTGTTAGCCGCAGGGGGGTGGGGGGAAGTTGGAGGTAGAAAGCACATTTATTCAGAATTACCTTAACAGGTTGAGCAGAAAAATAATTACTGACGGCTCTAGATTTTCAAAAAAAAAAAAAAAAAATTATTTTTATATAAGCAACCCCCACCGACCAGGAATATAATGCGATTAAAAAGGCTGTTAGGACTGGAGGGTATACACCCATGGGTACTTACCAGACTAGGACTAAGATCCCCCAAATATTTAGAATTTTCTAATGTTTTCATGTTCTCTGAATTGGTGCCAAAAGTACACAAACAGGTGTGGTACTTTGGAGACAAAAAATAATGGTCAAGGAATTACAGACCGGTCAGCTTGGTTCTGCAATTATTTTTGTATACAATATTAAAAAGCAGTCAATATGGATGGACAGTCACTATTTCTGCAACTGACACCATTGATTAAAACAGTGACTATCCCCTATACCTTTTTTTTCTTCATGAAATGGTTATAAAAACAATTTAGCAAAAGTGACCTCATGACCCAGTTCATCGAACGCAAAGGGAAACATTGTAAATGAAGAGGAGAAATGGAAATATTATTTCATTTCTCCTCTGCTCTGTATGCTCTCTCTAGGCTGAATGCCAGGTGTGTCCACAAGATTACGTAGACACCGGCATTAGATGTATCGCCCTCTCCTTTGTACATTTTTTTATCCTTTTCCTCCAAAAGTAGGATCCTCGTCTCCTTTCACTGTACTTTTAAGATAATTACATTATATGCCCTCTATATTATTGTAAAGCGCTGAGTAATACGTTCGTGCTATATAAAGGTTGGTTAAAAAAAAAAAAAATCCTACTCACGTTTTTCCAGACTATAGGAGTATATTTGCAGGTTTAGACACTGGCTCGCTGTGAGCCAAAAAAACAAACACATACCTTACGATGAACATCTTCTGTATACTATGTGCAGAGAATTTTCCAATGAGGTCACCCATGACATCAGAGGGATTTCCCAACATAACTGGGACTCTGCTCTCCATCTGCTACTAAGCAAGGGCTTTGACAAGCTGTCAGATTTGATCAATTGTCTTGTAATAGTGCTGACCACACTGCAGCTCAGGGCTTCATGCTCTACATGTACAGAGTGAGCATAGAGATCTTTCGAGAGGTCTTTCTTACCGTATCTGTTATCAATAAACATTTATTACTCTTTCAAGCTGACTTCATGTTTGAAGCCTATTGCAAATATGAAACCACAAGGGATTTTTCAGATGGATACTTACCTTTAAATTGTTTCTCCAACCCTTTCTCATTTAGAAAAGAATAAAGACAATAGTGCATAATTCTATCAGTTCCCCATAGAAAATGTTTACTTACTTTAATCCAGGGCCAGGCAAAACTCCACGGTGCACCCCCGTGTGACATCACAGAAGCCGCTCCAAAGTCCAACCAAAGGCTTTTCATAGAGAATCCCCTGATTGGACCATTTTACTAACACCATAACCACTTCACAAATCTGAATTGGTCATGCTGGTTGGAATAATCCTTTAAAATTTGTCAGAATTATGAGGTGATGCACACACCATTTGGCATTACATTGACCACACAAACTTCAATTGTAAAACTACCTCAGTGACACATTCAAATATTTAACATGGCTCAGAGTCCATGAGAAATGGGATAATTTAAAAGTTGCACTATTGAAGGCAACAGAAAATTGCATTAGGCTGGTCAGTAAAAGCAAAAAATTCAAGAAACCACTGTGGTACTCCGCAGATGTGGCCAAAATAGTTAAAAACAAAAAGTTAGCATTTAGGAATTATAAAAAAAAAACCAGAGTGAGGAAGACAAAATGATCTATAAGATTAGGCAGAAAGAGGCTAAGCAAGTTATAAGAGCTTCCAAATCACACACAGAAGAGAAAATAGCACAGTCAGTAAAAAAAGTGGATAAAACATTTTTTAGATACATAAATGAGAAATGAAAAGTAAAACAAGGATTAGTTTGATTAAAAAGAAAAGAAGGAATGTACGTAGAAGAGCATAAAGGTCTAGCTGACTGCCTCAATGAATATATTTGTTCGGTATTTACAGATGAAAATGAAGGAAAGGGACCTCAGTTTGGAAGAAGGACAAATTAGTCATTTATTACATGTGAGTTTACAGAGGAAGAGGTTCTATTTCAACTGTCAAAAGTAAAGACAAATAAGTCAATGGGACCTGATGGAATACACCCAAAGTTATTAAAAGAACTTAATGATGTACTAGCAAAACCATTAACAGATTTATTTAACCAATTATTGTTAACAGGAGTAGTCCCAGAAGATTGGAAGTTAGCAAATGTGTCCATTCACAAGAAAGGTAATAGGGAGGAGTCGGGCAACTATAGGCCAGTAAGCCTTACTCCAGTAGTGGGGAAAGTAATGGAAACCATGTTAAAGGATAGGCTTGATGAACATCTAAAAACACATGGATTTCAAGATCAGAGACAACATGGGTTTACTTCAGGGAGATCATGCCAAACTAATCTTACTGATTTTTTTGATTGGGTAACTAAAATAATAGATCAGGGTGGTGCAGTAGACATTGCTTACCTAGATTTCAGTAAGGCTTTTGACACTGTTGCACATAGAAGGCTTATCAATAAATTGCAATCCAAGTTTGGATTCCAATGTTGTTGAATGAGTAAGGCAGTGGCTGAGTGACAGGCAACAGAGGGTTGTAGTCAATGGAATATATTCGAAGCTTGGGCTAGTCACCAGTGGGGTACCTCAGGGATCTGTACTTGGACCCATCCTCTTTAATATATTTATTAATGATATTGCAGAAGGTCTTGATGGTAATGTATGTCTTTTTGCTGATGATTCTAAGATATGTAACAGGGTTGATGTTCCAGGAGGGATAAGCTAAATGACATGATTTAGGTAAACTGGAAAAATGGTCAGAGTTGTGGCAGCTGACATTTAATGTGGATAAGTGCAAGAAAATGAATCTTGGATGTAAAAACCCAAGGGCAGAGTACAGAATATTTGATAGAGTCCTAACCTCAACATCTGAATAAAGGGATTTAGGGGTGATTATTTCTGATGACTTAAAAAGGTAGGCAGACAATGTAATAGAGCAGCAGGAAATGCCAGCAAAATGCTTGGTTGTATAGGGAGAGGCATTAGCAGTAGAAAGAGGGAAGTGCTCATGCCATTGTACAGAGCACTGGTGAGACCTCACTTGGAGTATTGTACTCCGTACTGGAGACCGTATCTTCAGAAGGATATTGATACCTTAGAGAAGGTTCAGAGAAGGGCTACTAACCTGGTTCATGGATTGCAGGATAAAACTTACCAGGAAAGGTTAAAGGATCTTAACATGTATAGCTTGGAGGAAAGACGAGATAGGGGGGATATAATATAGAAACATTTAAATACATAAAGGGAATCAACACAGTAAAGGAGGAGACTATATTTAAAAGAAAACCTACCACAACAAGAGGACAGTCTTAAATTAGAGGGACAAAGGTTTAAAAATATCAGGAAGTATTACTTTACTGAGAGAGTAGTGGATGCATGGAATAGCCTTCCAGCTGAAGTGGTAGAGGTTAACACAGTAAAGGAGTTTAAGCATGCGTGGGATAGGCATAAGGCTATCCTAACTATAAGATAAATCCAGGGACTAATGAAAGTATTTAGAAAATTGGGCAGACTAGATGGGCCGAATGGTTCTTATCTGCCGTCACATTCTATGTTTCTGTGTAAGTGATCAATGCCTGGTTAAAGGCATGGAATTCAAATTTTAAACTATAATTCAGCCTTAAAATAAATCTTGCAAAACACCATAATTAGCCTTCTCAATATGAAAAGTCAGTAATGCCACTACAAACAAAATTCCCACTGTGGGTATTTACACAAGGAGCAACTAAATGTGCTTTTTCTTTAAAGGGATACTATAGTACCAGGAATACAAAGCTGCCTCCCTCTTCCCTGCACCCCTGTAATAAATAAAGGGTTAAAATCCCTTTGCCAATGTCCCACAGCGATGGTTCATTGATTGCTCCGTCACCTCTGAAGTTACTCCATGAGGTGGCACTAATACGCGAGTGCCACACATGCATTAGGCCCTCCCCATAGGAAAGCATTGAGTCAAAGCTTATGTATGGGGAAAGACTTAGTATGTCTGGTAACATCGTGGAAGCAGACTTCGTGCTGCATTATTATTGCCATTTATATAGCGCCAACAGATTCTATAGCACTTTACAATATTGAGATGGGGGATTTAATAAATAGGACAGTTACAAGAACGATAGGTTAAAGAGGACCCTGCTCAAACAAGCTTACAGTCTATATGTTTAACATTACAGCACTAAGTGAAATAGGAACACTGCACCCAGACCAATTCAATGCACTGAAGTGGTTTGGGTGCCTAGTGTCCCTTTAAGGCTGGCCTGATTATGTACCCAAAATGAGACATTTTACTGAATGCTTTTAGATAAACTACACGTTCTAAATGTTGTAGTGTAAGTCTGTAGAGTGGTGCAGTAAAGGGATTGACGAAAATCATGGTGTGAATGGTTCCAAAAAGGTCGAATGGATTGACGAAATGTTTATTACTCTAACTTATAGGTAAATCATTTCCTATTTCATTCATTCTAAGCAAGTTATGATCTTAGTTCATAGTTAGAAGTGTATACCATAGAAGTATAACTATGTATTTATAGTATATTTCATCTTCGAGAGATGAATGTATACATTGTTTTTGAAAGGAGTAGTAAGTTTTCAGCATGTGAACACAGTCATAAAAATCTGAGGTTACTCCAGACTGCCCCCACTCTGTGTAAACTGGCAGATTGATATAGTATTGCAGCACCCTTATTTTAATCTAGTCAATTGCATTCGAGAGTGTCTCCAGTACAGTGACGGTGAACCTTTTTGAGCCCGAGTGCCCAAACCGCAATACATGCCAACACAGCAATTAAACCTGAATACTGAGGTTTAAGTTTAGAAAAAACAATTCGTATATTTGTCCAAACTAATTAACAACTTGTTTTAAAAGAATAACAGTTCAATGATAATAAATATAAGCTTCATGTTATCTATTTAGATCATTTAAAATTAGTATCTCCAACAAATGCAATACACAGTCCGTTGAAGACACATACAGATTTTCCACATCTGTATCCTCCCCCTCTCCCTGCTTACCTTTGGTTATGGAGGGGAGGACAGAGCCAGCCCTGGTAATCCGGTGATGGTAATGATAAATCTGCGAAGCAGCTCTCCAGTCAGACCACGCGATGTTGGTTTAACTTTGTTCTAATAATGCCTTTACCATGTTTCAGGATTACCAGGTATATTAATATGAATTTATTGCAAAAGGTTTTCATTGCAGAAAAAAATTTGCAATAGGATTTTGTTTCCATGCAGTTACTCCATACATTTTACCAGACTTTTAAAAGGGTTCCTCAAAACTGCACAGAACAGGGTGCTACAAGTCCAGTTGCAGCACAAAGGGGCATCAGTTGGGTTAAAAATTTATAGATTTATATATTAAAGCTTGGAACTGTATCCAAATGTTCCAGGCAAGTACAAAAGTAGGGAGGGAATTAAACGTGTGTATACACACACACACACACACACAGTTGATAGGGACCGTTCTAGAATTTTAAAATATATTTATACACACATTTTAGTTAATTTTCACGCAGGGAGTGAAACAATTCTAAGCCCTTGTTAAGCTGCACTGCTGTAAACCACCTGCCAGAATGCTGTGGTCGTGCCCTGTATTTTATGCATCATTTGTTGAGATCATTTGAAAATAAAAGCATTTTGGCAAAAGAAAACCAAACACTTTAAAGACCTGTCATCCCACCACTTGTATTAAACAAATCCATAGTTCTAGTGTGTACGCTTACAGCGCAGAGAAAGGCAAAAGAAACTGGTGTATAAGCTGCTCTAGTAAATACCGAATTACATTCTTACTGCATTTGCTCATCAGAATGTTAACTCATCTGACAATTAGATTTGGGCATGGTAGCTGTACTCTCATTAACATTGCCAAATCCGCCTTGCCATTCATCAAACACACTAGCACTGAGTTCCTAAAACCTTGCACTGTGTGGAGTTATAGAGATACCACTCCTTGTGAGAATCTGATCAGATATGTATTCTAAATATTTTAAAATTACTTTATATTTGTTAAACATAACGGACAAAGGGTTTGAACACTGCTTTGTTGCCAAGGTGTGTAGTAATGTCAGCAAGCCCATCACAAGTGAACAAATGAGGTAGACTAAAAAGTCACAGTAATTTCATTTATATCTACACAGCAAGTTGTGAAATGCAATCAAGACTGGGAGAGGTTTCAGGAACTGGGATTTACAGAGTAATTTTGCTTGTGGTATTTATAGATTTGAAGATCGTGGTTTTTACCCGGCAACAAAATATTGTATTGCATAGAAAGCAAAACCAATTCCACTTTGGTATAAGTGAAGTAAAGGTCTCAGAGGAGTTCAATGTAGAAGCCCTGTAGATCTTTTTATATGTGCCACAGATTTAGAATTTCCTGGGAAGGATCAGTTCTACTTCCATTAAATGCACACCATTGCGTTTAACAAAACCTATAACAATTATTCACCTTTTTCCACACTTCCTCTATACCGACTGGAGCAGAGCACAGGGCTTAGAGATTCGAGAAGGAAGTGGTAACTTTCCAGGATAACCATAAGTACAGAGATGTGGATTCTTACAATTAAAGGACCACTATAGGCACCCAGACCACTTCCACTCAATGAATGGGTCTGTGTGCCAAATCCCTCTAGTGTTAACCCTGCAACTGAAAACATAGCAGTTTCAGAGAAACTGCGAAGTTTACAATAGGGTTAATCCAGCCTCTAGTGGCCGTCTCATTGACAGACGCTAAAGGCCGCTTCAGTGATTCGCACTGTGAAAATCACTGAGAAGATGCGGACATCCATAGGAAAGCACTGAGTAATGCTTTCCTATTGGAGATTTGAATGCACACGCGACACTTGCTGTGCATGCGCATTCAGTGCAGACATTAGCAGGAGGTGGGGGGGTCCTAATGACCCTATAGTGCCAGGAAAAGGAGTTTGTTTTCCTGGCACTATAGTGCTCCTTTAAAGCAAGCAGAGAAGCAACCCCAATAGCAATACCGAGACGAGATTGTTCCCTCTTAATTACTCCTTCAAAAAAGTTTGACACATTCAAATTTACAGAAACACAAAAATCCATTTGGTATTGGAGGCAATGTTTATTACAGATTTCAACTTTTTTTGGCAAACATTCCAACAAATCACATCTGTAAACAATATGCTTCCCTTTTAATTGGCAGCACTTATTCGGAGGATAAAAAAAAAAAAATAATAAATTCAGATATCTTGGTTTAGTCAGAATGCTAAAAACCAAATAGCTTCTGTTCCCATGTGAAAAAAAAATAAAATAAAAAATTCCAAAGTAAACTGGTAAGTAGCATGAAATGCATATTTGTGCTGTCAGATGATCACAGTATTTTTTTTTTAAATAGATCTGTATTTTACTTAATTCCTGGCTCTCAGGAGAAAAACACTTTAAATATACATGTAGGTAAATAGCTTCTTTGCATATCTTTTCAAAAATACTTTATATCAATATATAAATAGGTCACCTACACTGTTAAGTTTCTGAATTCTTCGCCCAAAAAAGTACATTGGTTAAACACCTTCACAAGTAGACCCCCCAGATACTGAAGGAGTTTCTTTGTATATAGTCATCAGCCCCCTCACCCCCCCACCTTTAATGTTAACGCCGACAAATTCTTGAAGTGGAATTGCTGTCGTTTTCCAGAATACAAGTAGCAAATTCATAGGAAAAAACCCAACACTCGTCAGTTGATTAAAACCTGAGCGTTTGGCCTATTAAATAGCAGCTTTGTGTATCATGCATGCACACACCCACGCAGCCTGGCACACATACAAACACACTTCCAGACGCTGATAGGCCACAGTGTGCTTCCCATTGCTTTAATAACCTGGGAAGCGGTGTAGCTAATACTTCACTACACATATTATAGACAAACACCTTAAGGCATCAATTGAAGTGGGGGGTAAGATTTGCAAGTTAAGGATCAAGACAGACTGTATATATATTTTATATGCACCTTTTCTGTCCATCAACCCTCCATTTTTTGTATTTTTTTTTTAAATATATTTTGT